AGTGTACTTAAGCTCCACCTGACCTCCGCTCTGGGCTCTGAGCTGCTCTCCCTTCTTGAGTGAGCACAGAGTCCCAGCGCGCTGGAACAGGATCCTCAATAAACTTCCCCCCTGCGATTGCATGAAGTGAGTCTCTTGTGTGGTTTCTCCCCTCCGTCGCTTCGCTGCACCCCAACAGTTCAAAGAGGAGAAAATTCTGGGTTTGATGGCAGAAGTGGCAACCAGGTTGGACCATGACACATAAATAAACATTGGATGGGTAAAAATGGCCACCTTGAAAGACTTAGAGAGCACAAATTAAATTTTGAAGGTAAGAAAGCACTTGCTATTCAAGATAAAGGACTGTGAGAAATGGTTCAAGTTCAGTCAAGCTTTAGGTAAAGTCATTGCCAAGGCAGCACAATGTCCTTGGCATTGAGCCAGGCACTTGATTTACATACTCTCAGTTCAAACAACAGCCTTACAAGTGTGGTCCTGTTATCTCACATTTTTGCCTATGAGAAAATGAAGATGTCAAACAGATGGTTACCAATAGACCTGGCATTGAAATGCAGGTCATGCCTTTTTATTACACAGTATGACTAGGGAACAATGTAGATAAAGAGAAATGACATTCTAAAGACATAGAATAGAAACTAAGTAAGTTATATTTTATTTGGAAAGCAGGTGAGGATTTTAAAGATTTTTTAAAATAGAGAAATGTCATGAACATGTATTTTAAGAAGATGAATCAGGTTTTCTGCTCAAAGCCTTCTCCTCAAAAAAGCCTTTCCTGACCACCCTATAGAAAGCCACCTCACCATACCCAACCACTTTCTGCCCAATCACCCTACTTTATTTACTTCATAGCATGTGCAAGTACCTCACATTTGACAGTTTGTTCAGTTAGTTCTTGTCTGTCTTTCCTATTAGCATGCAAAGTTCACTTTTATATCATTCTTGTTTATGGACTTTGAACAAGTAAATATATATGGATTAATTTTCGCTTCTACAGAGAACATGTATGTAGTAATGGTTCTGCAACATTCAAGATAATATATTCATGAAAGCATTGTAGAAAATTTGAGATGTTAAATACCAGGAAGTCATAACCATGCCAGATTTAAAGATAGGAAGTTAGTGTCATTAGGTAAATTGGGTTTAATATCGAGTAAGATAAAGAAAATGGAGACCATTATCAAGAATGGAGTCCCGGAAACCAGAACAACACCTGGGGAAATTGAAATGTTAATGTCCCCAAGGCCCTGAACGCATCCTAAAGAACTGTTAATGAAGTAACTCCCAGCATACAAGCATACAGGGAGGTGCTAATCAAACCACCCCAGGCCCTTCCTGCCCAGATTACTCCTCCCTGCCCCATTGGACCACCTACTTCCCAGCTTTGGCCTTCCCACCTGCATTCTATCCCTGCAGGATGGAGGGAAACAAAGGACTGGAATGTGGGAGGACTAAAAGAAGACTTTAGCTTTAAAAAAGGGAAGACCTCCCTTTTCCATGGATTCCGCCTTTTGGGTCCCCTTCTTCCTCCCGGAGGAAGTCTTTTCTGCTATCCTTTAATAAAGCCTTCCACTTTCCACTCTATACTTGCCTTGGCATGCTTCTCTGGTGTTGTACTTCAGCTTTTGGGGAAACAAGAACTTGTCACCAGTAAACAGCAGTAACAAAAGCATTGTAGAAAATTGTAGAGATTTTATATAGGAAGTATAGGAAACATAGGAAGTCATAACCGCAACTTTATTACACCCATTGTTGTAAACACACCACTAAGAACAATGTGTAGCTCCAAGAAGTACATGACAAATACTTATTAAATGAGCAAATGAACGGAATGTGTAGTTAGAGGTATGAAAAAAATCATCTAAAGCATCTAGATATGTGTATTAAAATTCAGTCTGATATTTTATATCTAAATGCCTTATAAGTTTTGTTTTCATAAGAATTTGGCATGTCTCTCAAAAAAATTTAATCTATATTCACTTAGTAAAACAATTCTTGACTAACTAGTTCTACTTCCTATAAAAAATTTACCAAGATGAAACTGTCTTGCTCCCAAAACTACTTACATCTGCAATTTCATTCCTACAAAAAGTATGGAGTCCCAGTGAGCTGATTTGAAAAACCAGCCTCTATCTCAGAGCAAAGCTTGTCCAAGAAGGGACAAGACCTTTGTCCTTGGAAAGATCCACAGAGCACTCCTAGGCACATTCCCACCCTGATAAGTTGTTTATCTACAAATAACAGGAGAGATCTTCTGCACCAGGTGTCCCAGACTCAGTCAGGCTAGGTGGGAATCCATAGCAGCCCCCCCAGCAGCCACCAATCAGCATGAGACAGGGAAATACCTGGGATGCCAGATGACCCTCCCAGTAGTTTATGGTGGTTGATAACATGTTGGGAAACCATGTAGTTTAGCACGAACACCCCTCTTGGCTTAAACCAATCAGTTCAAATGAATACCCCTTTTGTATTGACCAATCACCCTTACCCAACTTGTTCCCACCAGTGAATGTGCTAATCATGTTTTAGAGTTGTTATTTGATTTTCCCGCGGTATTGTGATGATTTGCTAAGAGATGCTATGATGTAGGTGGGGGTCCCTACCTTCTCCAAAGAAACTATAAAACTGCTGCAAACCCTGGGCTCAGGGCCTCTCAGCGTCACCAGTTGCTGTGTGCGTGCGTGGAGGACCAAGCTAGCTTGCAATAAACACCTCTTTGCTGTTTACATCTGTCTTGGTCTCTGCTGGTCTTTTGGAGGTCCTGAATTCGACCATAACAGATTTTTTTCTCTTTTACTTTCTTTCTTTTCTTTTTTTTTTTCCGTGTGTGAGTGTGTGTGTGTGTGTGTGTGTGTGTGTGTGTGTGTGTGTGTTTGTGTATGTTAGGGGGGTTATTGGAGATAGAGCTCAGGGGCAATTACCACTGAACTACATTCTCAGCCCTTTATATGTATATATATTTATTTTGAGACATGGTCTTGCTTAATTACCTAGGCTGACATCAAATTTGTGATCCTCCTGCCTTTGCCTCCTGAGTTGCTGGGATTATAGGCATGCTTTGTTGTACCCAATGAGAATTTTTAAATAAATCATGTTTCAAGTGAGTAATGCTCTAGTAGAATTATTAGATCCCAAAGAGGACAACTTATGTTTAAGACATTTGTCAGAGACTGCTCTGATGGGTAGAGCTAGTTTCACTGGGGAGGAGCCCTATGCTAGGAAAGGATGGCTAGCACCTGAGTCAGAACACTGATTCATCAATCTGTGGTAGAATTTCTTGGGTGGGTATCTCAGATGACCAATCTAAGTAATAGCCATTGTATTTTTTCCTAGTTATCCAACTCAAAGAGAATTTTCATTTCTTCCTTTAAGATCACACATCCACAGCTGTCATCACACTTGTTAAACAAGTTTCCTTTTAATTACTTTCAGCCATTGTACCCAGCCCTTAAAATCTCAACTACCTTGTGGTTAGCACATTTCCCTGAGAACCACTGATCAGGATAAAGGGTGCAGAAGTTTCCTTTTTCTTTATTAGCATCAACAGCCATTATATCAGCACATTATGTATAGGTAAGTGGAGATTTGCTTGCCTAAAATTCTGACATAAATAGAATTAACACTATCTGTCCTTATGACACTTAAGGGTTGCAAACAAAACAATAGCATTTAGGTGGGAAATGTGTGGATTTTCCTCAGTATTTTGAAGTTTCTGCATAGAGACAACCTTGTCCCAAACATGTGTTGTGTCTGCAATCTATGGTTTTAAGTAATTATCATGGGAATGTTTCAGAAAGATAGCATGCTGCTCACCATCCTGTGGATGGAAAAATAACATGAATGGTGACTGCTGTCAACTGAAGAGGAGGTAGCAGAGGGAACATTTATTTTCTCATTAATCAAATGCTACATTTTTGCTGTTAGTGGTACTGATCATCCCTTTCTTGTACTTTTTAAACATCTTCTCTACAGAACTTTCATGAATATTATCTTGAATTTTGCAGTGCCACTGCTTCATAGATTTCTCTACAGAATCATATATAGATCCATTTGTCTTGTTACATGTTCATGAACAAGAACAGCATCATTACATATAGACAAATCAAGTTTAAAAAAATTATTGGTGCATTATAATTATACATAATATTTGGTATGCCATCTATTTTAAATTATCTAAGTAGATAATTATCATATTAAGTGGATGATGATGATTATAAGAATATGCTCTGTGCTTATATGGAGTTCTCATTAAGACATACAAAATATATAGAAATTAACTTGAAATATTTCATATTAATATAACTGTGAAATATGTATGTATACCTTATATAAATATTTCTGTAAAATACATGTTATTAAATGTATATATTTTCTTCATAATCCTTACATTTTCATATTGGTTATATCTCCAATCTATCAGAACAGTGATTGCACACATATAAAAGAGAAAAGACAAGCATGATTGTTTTGTTTTGACCATGAGACAGACAACACCTTCATGCTGAGCAGAAAAGATATTTTATTCACATGACTCCTTCTACTTCTCCTTCATCATTTGACACTCGTGTAAAGTCCTAATCTGAAAGATTTCAAAAAATTAAGCCATTGTTTTTCGAAACCTGGATTACCTAGGAAAGGTCTAAGCCCCAATTCAGTGATTTGTTTTCTCAGAGTGAGGCATTAATACTGTTACACAGACCTTGGGGGGATTTGGAAACAGAGTTGATTCTGCAAGTGTTTTAGGAGAACTTAGTGAACTTTGTGATTGCCTGAGGGTACTTGCATGGTTAAAAGGAAGAGCGGGAACATCATAAGTGGGGATAAAAACTTCAAAACCAAATTTTACAAATTTTATTTTATTTTTCTTAAGAGTTAGTCCTATGTGATAGAATAGGAAAAAGCTGTATTTTTGTTCCTTACTGAAATAAGGAATTTTATGGCAAGGAATTTTATGCTAAAATATATTTATATTCTGTATCTTTTTCCAGTATTTTCTTATGTGTTTCTCAGAAGACTTTATGTATGGACTATCAGACTTTGGCTAATAGCTGGGTGATTTTTCTGCTTGAGGAGTCTCTGTCATTTTTAATCAGCTATTTACTCCATGTTATGGTTTGCAAGACCTTTATGTTATGAGTTGAAAGTACCTAAACCCAGAAAAATAGCTGAGCTGTCATAAGAAATAATCAAAATGAAAAATGAGGAGAGGGAATAGAAATATAAAACCCTATAGCAATTTTAATGAAATAAAATTGAAAATTTAGAAATAATTTTGTAATTTTCAAACCATAGCATCTGAAATGAACTCTAAAATGTCTTATTTGATCCAATTGTTAAAGATCTAGTTTTTTTCTGCTTTATGAAGAATACAAATTCTGACAAACAAAATATAAAGAAAAACTTCAATTTTCCCAAATGTATACAAAGATCTGTTTTGAGTGAATGCTTTAAAATAAAACTAGTCAAAACAAGAAATTGCAAATGATTAGGAGATCATTAGATAAAATAGTAGTTAAGGGGCTGGGGACGTGGCTCAAGCGGTAGCATGCTCGCCTGGCATGTGTGCGGCCCGGGTTCGATCCTCAGTACCACATACAAACAAAGATGTTCATACAAACAAAGATGTTGTGTCTGCCGAGAAATAAAAAATAAAAATAAAATAAAATAAAATAGTAGTTAATAAAAATTCATGGTAGGCAAAAGGAGAAGAGAAGATAAAATAACAATAAGAAAGAAAAAATTTTAAAAAAAGAAAGAAAAGGAAAGGAAAGGAAAGGAAAGGAAGAAAAGAGAAAGGGTGTGGAGCAAAGATTAAAGAAGCATTCAAGGAGGCAGTGGTTTTGGTGGAGCAGAATGCTTGTAATACAGGTTAAGTGCTGACCCACTGAAAGACCAATATTTTTAATTTGACATTTAAGAAACAAAAGCCTTATGAATTAAAGGCTTGTAACTTTAAGGAACATCAACAAATGAGAATGTAAAGTTGAGGAAGTAGATAATAATTGTTGAATCAGTGAATGAATGAAGACAAAGGGGGATTGAGAACAACATCTTAGAGGGTAAATAGACCAGAGGGGTCCAGAGGATATAAATCTTTCAGTGTTAGTCAAAAGTATTTTGTCTGTATCCTGTGAAAATGACTAACATGAGGACTTGTAGTACTTAGGAAGATGGACTTGTACCTGATGATAGATGAGAGGAAGGGGAACATGATATGGGAGAAGAAATGAAGAAAGGAGCTGTTATAATCCATGAGAGTGGAGTAATGGGATACTGGGTGATGATAGTCAGAAGGGAAAGAAAATGAGGAATTTGGGAAAGTTTGCAGGAGAATATTTACCAGAATTTGATAATAAAAACTATGTTGATAAAAAAGACAGCAATATGTTGAAACCAGCAAAAGATTTTACTTCAAAATTAAAAAGGGAGAAAAATGTACTCTAGAAGAGACAGTTTATGGAGAAAAAGTTGCACATTTTCTACATATGGAGTTTGAAGGATATTTTAATTTCTGGTACACAATTGGAAATATCCGACTGATGATTAACTGAGCAACCACAATTGTGAGTGTAAACTTAGGAGTCATCTAAAAACAAGGCAGAATTGAGCCTGTGTAAATGGATTAGTTTATCAGACTGTTTATTTTATAAAATACTGCACAAAATTAAATCTCTCTTTCCAAGGCAGATATATTTCCAATCTCACAATGAATAATTTATCTCAATTTTTTTTCCCATAAATACTCTGAATATAGGGCCCTATTAAAGTCAGCCATGGAAAACTTTAAGACAAAGGAGATGACAGAGTTGCGTGACCAAGTCTGAGTGGCAGCTCCCCAGCAGACTGGAGGTAGACATGTTAGACCAATGGAACAGGTTGTGCAAGGACAAGGAAGCATGATGGAGTATGGTATGATTCGACATGTTTGGAACACAGGTTATCTGTTCAAGAATGAGATGCAAAGCGGGCAGTGAAGTTGGTCTAAGACATAGGCACAGGTAGTCTATTTACATAAATGTGAGGAAAAGGCAGATTGTGGGCTACAAAAGAAGAGTTCACAAATGTGTTGAAATTATGAATATTCTTTTCATATTCCTACCATTTTCTCAGTGGAATAAGATGGTTATCAGCTAAGAGTAAAGATGGGCCAGATGGTGCTGAAGGTTTTAGGAAAAGACAAATATGAAATAATTTTTCCAAGAGAATTATAAAGCATCAGTAGAAAGAAGATTTTTTTTTAAAAAGAATCTTGCTCTTTTGAAGGCATCAACCCAATTTACCTTTACCTACAATTTAAAACATCATATACACTGCCTTTATTTGATACCTCTAATGTGAAAACTATAACAGGATACCCTGGGAAATTAAAGGTTTTCAATACTTTTTTTTTAAGAGAGAGAGAGAGAAAGAGAGAAGAGATAGAGAGAATTATTAATATTTATTGCTGAGAGCCATAGCTAAGTCAGAGAGACGCCTGGCATTTTTGCCAGAACTGAGTGGTTGAGAGGTGATGCCAGTAAGCCATTGAGATGATGATGGTTATGTTAAGCTGTGTATTCAATTGTATATTAGACCTGTGCTGTCCGCCTCAGGCGACCGGCTACTTTGGAGTTCTCGTGGGGGATTCCTGGAGAGTTCCAGTTGGTTGGGGAGGTGCCAGAGAAGGGATTTCCAGTTGGTGTGTGGTGTGTCCCGGGAGAAGGCAGCATGCGTGGCGTTCACGGGAGTTCAGAAGTAAAGTTTGTTCCTGCTTGAGTGGCTCGTGATTTCTGCCCAGTCAGACTGTGGCAATTTATTTTTCAGTTTTCGGTAGACTCAACATCTTTATTACTGCATGAGCCACATCCCCAGCCCCAGGGTTTTCAACACTTTACCAAGAACACAACACATATTGAGAATCTGCAGCCCTGGGAATATAAAAGTGCAAATTTCCAGGCCCTTCCAGAAATTTGAATTCACCAGATCTGAAGTAGGCTCCCACAGTATGCATATTTATAAGTCCCTCCCCTGATGCTAAGTAAGGTCACCCTCCAATCACACTTGAAGGAGATCAAATGTAGAAGACAAAATCTCAACACCTTCGTATGATATCAAGTGTGATTCTTGAGGCTACCCCTATCAGTGATCCTCACAGAAACAGAACTATTAGGAGATGGAGATAGTGACAGAGACTAAAATATCTATACCTGTATAATCTATATAACTTGCGTGTGGGCTCTCTCTCTTTCTCTCTCTCTCTCTCTCCACACACACACACACACACACACACACACGCACACACAAGTTTAAGGAATTGGCTCATGCAGTTGTGAGGTTGGTAAGTCTGAAGTCTATAAACCAGATGGCAGCTGGAAACTTAGGCAGGATTTCTATGTTATCATCTCAAAGCAGAATTCATTCTCCCAAGACATTTGTTTGGGTTCCTAAGGTCTTCAAATGATTGGATGAGCCTCATCTACATCATCAGAAGTAATCTCCTTTACTTAAAATCTACTGATTGTAAATGTTGATTGCAGCTAGATAAAACTTTACAACATCTATACTCATGTTTAACCAAACAGCTGGGTACCCCAGTCTAACCAATGTTGACATTTAAAATTAATCATCACACTGTCAATTTCATCTTTGGCTAATTCGTGGCTCACAGTTTGCTGCAAAAAAAGAAAAAAAATCCAACCACCAGTCATTCTTAGAGTGCTGTGTATTGTTCCTTTTTCCAAGAGTGTCTTACTATGCCTCTTTGGGAAATTCCCACAGATCCTTATTCAACTTAGGTTATGACTCTCAAACCGTATTTGTTACCTAAATGAAACACAGTGAAAACACCTAATGTATTATAGATTCATCATGACATGCTCTTCTATTAAAGTTTCCTTGGAAGCATAGTAATAAACAAACTAATAAGATAGATGGATACCGCACTTTGTATTTGTGTTAATAAAGACAGAATAAATACTGGACTTTATGCTGGACTTAGGCATAAAGAACTCCTAAGACATTTCTTTTGCCCCTTGCCCTGGAAAGATCTTAACTTATTGATACTAACTCTGCTCCTATCCATCAATCACTGGATGCAAGTATGTCCTAGGTACAGATATCTTGGAAAAACAACTTTATAGCACAGATTCAGAAAAATGCATAAAATTTCATAGCACAAGTTCAATCATAAGCTTTAAGGAAAGCATTGTTTTTTTTTTCCCTTCCTTCCTATGTCTTTACTAGTACTGTACTTAATTGTGGAGTTTTAGGGAGGAAATATGAAGTATAGATTTGAAGATTGTGATTTTTCTGATTTATTTTTCATATTCATATTCTTTATTTACAGACCAGTCACAGCTTCCCGAACATCTTTACCACTATGGATGATTGTCCTCCTTGTGTTTGGAGTGTTGGCTATCCTTGGAATAACTATTGGTCTCCTGGTTCATTTTCTGGCTGTAGGTTGGTATATTTATATTTATTTGATATTTTTATAATCGCTCTTTCATTTACACTGAAGGTAAAGAAGCAATTGCAAACCATGTATTATCTCACTTTAAAATGATATCAGTGACCCCAGACCGTATAAATAAGCATTATTAATATTTGCCATTACATTACTCACATGATTTTAATATACATAGTTAAAAGAATGAATATTCTTTCAGAGATATAAGCGCATAAGTAGATAGTTGATAGGCAGAAAAAATAATTCTACCAATGTTATAATTAATATATTACATATAGTGTATGTAAAGGAGAAATCAATGAATATTGAATTTTGATTATTTATTTATAATAAAGATGTTAATATAAAAATCCTTCTACATATATTTTTTTTTAAAAAATTGGAAGAGTAGGAGGAAATTGAAGTCATTTTAAAAAACCATGTGTTTTTAACTTAGGATATTATATCATTTATGCCCTACCATAAAACAAAAGAAAATGTAGACCCAACTCTCAAACATGTCCACACAGAAGCAGACTTCCTAAATAAGACTCCTAATGTGCAAGAAATAAAATTTAAATATCAACAAGTGACATAGCATTAAATTAAAAAGCACAGCAATGGAAAATTTTAGAAGTATAAAAACAGAGCCTACAAAATGTGAGAATATTTTTACCACCTGCTCCTCAGTCCATTAATATCTAGGATACACAAAGAACTCAAAACTTAATACCAAAAATCAAATAACCCAATTAATCAATGGGAAAAGAAGTAAACAGAGACTTCTCAAAAGAAGAAACACAAAGGATCGACAAATATATGAAAAAATGTTCAACATCTCTAGAAATTAGGTAAATGCAAATCAAAACTACATTGAGATTTCATTTCACTCCACTCAGAATGGCAATTTTCAAGAATACACATAGTAAATTTTGGCAAGGACGTGGGGAAAAAGACACTCATACATTGTTGGTGGGACTGCAAATTAGTACAGCCACTCTGGAGAGCAGTATGGAGATAACTTTAAAAAACTAGGAGTGGAGCCACTATATGATCCAGCTATCCTACTTCTTGGTATATATCCAAAAGGTTTAAAATCAGCATACTATAGTGATACAGTCACATCAATTGTTATAGCACCATAATTCACAATAGCCAAGCTACAGAATTAACCTAGGTGCTTTTGAACAGATAAATAGATAAAGAAAATGTGTGTGTGTCTGTGTGTGTGTGTGTGTGTGTGTGTGTGTACACACACAATGAAATGGCACTCAGCCATAAAGAAGAATGAAATTATGGCATTTGTCAGTAAATTGATGGAACTGGAGACTATCATGCTGAGTGAAATAAACCAGTTTCCCTAAAATCAAAGGACAAATGTTTTCTATGATATACAGAAGCTATTCCAAAATAAGGGGTTAGAAATGAAAAAAAAAAAAAAAGCAAAGAGAAAGGGGAAAAAAAGGAAACAGGGAGGTGGAATTTCATTAAAATCTCAGAAATTTCAGTAGAATAGATGAAAGGTATTGAGGAGAAGGAGGAAGGATAGGCAAAAGGAAGAACAGTAGAAATAATCTGACCTAACTTTCATATGTGCATGCACGGATATGACATTGTGGGTTCCAGCATCGGGTGTATCCACTGAACACTAATTTAAAAATAAGTAAACTAAATGGATTGAAGAGGGATCTGTGGAACCGAGGGAGGGGAGTTGGGGAGGGGCGCAAGGGAGGGAAGACTGCTGGGCACTGCATTATCATGGGTCGTGTTCCATGCTTTTGTGATGTCAGGATGTGTCTTGATGTTGCATATAACTAAAAAAAGAATAATAAAAAAGATAGATATACTTTGAAGAGTCAAATACCCAGAGCTTTTAGTGATAAATTCAGCCCTTCTTTCGGTATCTTATTTCCCATTTATCAGAAGCAAACACTTTCAACTTATTAATATGATTCTTGATATTGCTATATTCCTAATTTTCAGTTATTCAAATTATCCATTCACTTTCTTTTTAATAATGATTAGCTAACTTTCTGTAATGTGGGCCAGATGCTTTTGAAGGAATATTCTGGTATGTAGGCCTGGAGATGGGTTGCAGATTGGGAAAGTTTGAGGCTTATATTTTGATATTTTTTTTTGTCTCAAACATTGTCTTATCTCATCTGTTATTTTCTTTAAACACAAGACAAAATTTATCTTCAATATTTAACACTTAGGAGTCTGGAGTGACCCTGAAGAAAGCACTCTAATTTGCATACTCTCTTAATTATGATACAGCGATTTCCCTACCTAGAAGGGAATACCCCAGTTTATCACCAACAGATTGCCTCAGTGGGAAGATTAGACCATATATATTAAAAAGAGAATTGTAGTATGCTTTCACTTGTATTTTCTCTTCTGCCATTCTGCAGTGGGAAAATAGAAATATTCCTTTTGTGTTTTCAGAACTTGGAGTAGTATTATTCTAATCATTGAGAACTTTTAAAAAAATCTATATCTAGCTTAATTTATGAAAGGCATCTCTGATTCATATAACTTCTCACTTCAGTGTATACTTCATAGTTTAGGCCTGTTTGCATCAGAGGTTTTGGGAAGTAGGCCTGGAGTTGTGGCTGTTTTCTTTAGTTTCCTTAGAATTCAACTAACATTTTTGTCTTTTCTTATTTTTCTGGGCTTAAACATAGGAGACAGAGTGAAAGCACTTCTAAGTTAACATAACTTTCCCAGTCTGCAACCCATCTCCAGGCCTACATACCAGAATATACCTTCAAAAGCATCTGGCCCACATTACTTGAAAAGCATCTGGCCCACATCACTCTGTCCACTTTAAGTAGAAGTCTTCTCATAATACACATTTAAATCCTTATGTTTTACCCAGAGTACTCCTCGTTTAAAAAAATTGTATATATGTTTGGTTTTCTTTCTAGAAATGATTTGTGAATAATCAAGTCATGAAAAATGATTTCTTATTCTGTTCCCTTATTCATCTTTCTCAATTCATATTGGCATTTGAACTACTTGTGGAGTTGAGAATGTTATTCATATGGTGTGAGTCTGCCTTACTGATTTGCCATCCCAGTGGATTATTTTCATGGCATCAGGTACCAATTGAGCTCAACGACTATATCCACAGTGACCTCAGCATAGTTAGTAAGGTCTCATTGTCCCGCTATGACTGGTGCATACAGTTAAATTAAGAACAGGATACTCATGAGTTGATTTCCTTGCTTTAGTTTATGGTTTTTAATCTCATATGATATAGTAAATATTCTGTTTATCAATCAATTGTCTCTCTGAAAAGTGCTTCATTCTAAAAAAAAAAAAAGTGCTTCATTCTATTATAATAAAACAAATCCACATCTTGACAATTTGTTAATTTATATTAAGAAATATTCATGGCTTCTGAATATTGTAATAGAAATAAATAGGAATCCAAATGAAGAAATGAAGGATGCATTGTGAACATTGAATTATTAAAAAGAAGTCAAATGATTTTAAGATCTTTTTTTGCTGCTTATGCTATAACCTGATAAACTGCAATTGTAAAGTATGGTATATAGTGAATAAATATATGATAATGTACAGGCAAGTTAACTGCAATTAGCAACATTCATTTATAAATCATTTATAAAAAAACATTTTCAGATTTTTGTTTAGGACTTGATAACTTCTTTCTCCATTATATTTAGCACTATAAAATATTTTAACATTTTTTATAACACCATGTTTTATTTTAATTATGATTCCTCTCTTCTCTTGATTCATATAGATCTTGTAGTTGAAAACCCAACTTCATCATTTGAATATATTCTTATTGGTTACTCATGTGATGGCTTCATCAATATTGAGCATGTCTCTTCCACAAGATAATCTTCAAGGGCAGTGATCATATTGTAAAATAAAATTTATTTAGTTATTATTATTATATGCTACCAACTCTTACCCCACGTCTAACATGCTGTAAGCACTTCGTATCTATCACCTTACTAAAGATAAGATGTGACATATATCAAGTATCCATGAAAATTTCAAAAAGAAACACAATGCATTAGCTGTGGGTTTTCAAGTAGGCAGATTGAGCTTTGATCCTTGGCTACTTTTAGTATATTTGGCAAGTTATTCTGAGATGATTCTGAAACATTTGTATACTTCATTAGGTCTTTACAAAATATCTTCATTTGGTGGATATTAAATGGTAGCTACTTTTATTCATAATCTGGCAATTGATAACAAAAATCTCATTATAGTATATAGTCCTTTCTGTCTCAACCAAGATGATGTAATTTTCCTTTCTGACCTTTTTCTGATGTGTGGGTGCATGTGTGTATTCTATTATTGGTTCTATAAACACTTTTCACAATGCCTAAGGTATCTAATCAAGTGTATCAGAAGAATTCACATGGGTTTATCAATATCCAACAAGAATAATACATACTAGTTGGTATTAATATGTAATCTACATCTGAGTTTGAAGTCCATTTAATCTGAATAATTCTTGGATTATTTCTTTGTCTCACAGAAAATAGGACATACTACTATCAAGGTAGCTTCAAAGTGCTGAATATCCCATATAATAAAAATTATGAAAAGGAAACATCACCAGAAAATAACTATATTAGTAAAATTCTTGAAACTAAAGTAAGTTAGTATTTTTCTACTTTTGTTTCATTGTTAATTCATTGAAATATAAATTTATAATTGGATTTTGATGCTTGACTATATTCTCTCCTCACAGATGGTTGATGCATTTCAAAGTTCTAACATTTACAGACAATATATCAATTCTCAAGTCATCACACTAGTGTAAGTAAAGAATACTAATCATCAGAATCATTGTGCATATCATTATACTTCAAGTTCTTCTGTGAAAATTTCTATTGATATGTTACAGTCATTAACTAGTAAGTTACTAATGTCCAACATTATCATAAATATCAGACAAATTGTTCAGTACAAAACTGAAGTAAGTTTTGGGGCTTTATTGTTGAATTCATTAAATCTACCAGGAATGCATTAACCTTAAAATTGTGGATTACTTCATCATTCTTATTTCCTAAGTATTTATATCCAAAAAACATAGATCGTTCTTTAGACCAATGTTTGACACTAACATTTTATTTATCAGAATCATAAACATGAACTCTGTTTTCTCCAGTCTTTCTACTTGCAAGTCAGTTTAACATTTTGTGGAATGACCCCAGTATTCTTATTAGATATGGGGTAGAAGACAGACTTTGTTACCAAGGAGAACCCTCTGGTCACCATATCAAGAAGCAAAATAACTATACTATGTTCTCTGCATATGGATTTGGAATAGCAAAAAAATAGTAGAAAGAACCTTAAAATGCAGTTAGACAACTTGAGCCCTGTCTTTGCTATTTAGTAGCCCTAGAGTTTTGTATCAGTCATTGTACCACTTTAAATCTTTCTTTCTTTTATGAAATATTAGTGACAACATCTGCCCTGCCTTGTTCATAGAACTTTACTCAGAATTAAAAAGATTATGTATATGGAAATACTTTCAAATAAATATATTTTCAATGAAAGTGATTATTACTTTTACTTTCATTAGTGTTACTAATGTTTTCCTTTCTTTCCCTGGTCCTGGGCTCATGTGATTTTTGGAATTGCAGAACGAGTTAAGGTTCCAAATAGCAATTTTAGTACTGGACAGAAATGGAAAACTAAAGTTGAAGGTCTCAGGTGATTGCAACCACCAGAAGGCCTCTCTGCTTTGTTTTCCAGTGCACATAACTTCAGGTATCTGTAGGGTCAAGACCAAGTGACAGCAAGGCCACAGAACAGTTTTTCATTTTGGCACATAATGCTGCAAAAATCACTTATTATTTTGCTTGGTAGCAATGTGAGTAGAGTGCTCAGTAGGAATTGTTATTGATTTGTATGCCAAAATGTTGAGTACCCCTTAGGAAGACTCAAAACATAATGATAACACTCCAGACACTAGCCTCAGGGCTCCTTGGTAATTTTGTTGGCCAGCCTCTTGGGCTGCCCACCAAATTTCTCCATCAATCTTCAGATTAATATTTGAATGCAATTTTGTTCAACATTTTCTCATCACTGCTACCCGTTTGCATTGTATTAAAAGCCTGTCTCCATCTGAGCCCAATCCCACAGACACCATAGTCACTGAATGACTAGACATATGATGGAGTGCATAGAGTAAGGAGCCCTATTTGTGGAATCAGCTGTACTGACTCTAAACTCCCAGTTAGTAGTTGCATATTGAGTATATTTACATAACCTGTCAGAGCCTCAATTTTTCCAAATGTATAAAACATGATAAATGATACATACTTATGTTTCAGTATTATCATAGATACAACAAAATGTGTACTAATATATGTATGTGATAACAAAAAGCATCAGATGCACAATAACTGTTAATTAATATTATTATCAGTCAGTTATTCTGTAGTATGAATCCTCCTTATCTCTGATGATGAAATTTTCTATTTGATGGTGAAGTATCAATAACAATATTTGAAGTCCAGTGTATATATCACCTCTTTCATGAAAATTTATCTGATACTTAAGTAAAAAAATGACTCATTATTCCTCTGAATGTCTCCAGTTAGGATAAATATCTTCCTGTGTCTCCCTCATTTGTTATAGTCATTGTATGCATGTTTGGAAATTCCTAGGGGATAGAATTGTGTCATTGCCATAATTTGTGTCTCAGCTTTCCCTACTTTTTCAGATTTGTAGAATTGACTCTAAACTGAATAATATAGCTGCATGAATAATGTTACCACTAAATGTAGACAAGTGAATAAGCCTGTGCTTGACCTAAAGTGAAAGTAGTGCACAGAGCCATAAAAGAGCAGAAGAAGCCAAGATTTTTTTTTTTTTTTTTAAATAAAGGCCCCTCTAGGGGCATCAGATCCTTCTGAAGGCTGCTTGTAACTTGCAACC